CAAAATATTCGAGTATTAAAAAATCGGTTAGCCGTCTCGGTAGTTCTTCTATATGCGGTATACCGGCACCACCGGCACTCTTAATCTGGTTATGCAGTTGTACAATCGCCTCTACGGTTTGGCCCAGTTTAACGCCTACAGACGCCAATGCCGCAATCACTGCTGAATCGCCGGTGGCGTTTACAAGACTGCGCACAGCCGTTACCAGTTCAGTACCCTTGGTGGCCAGCGATCCCAATGCTGTTCCAAAAGCACCGATGGGCAGATCATAGCCCAGCTTATGAAAAAAATCAGTGGCTTTTGCCGGGGTATTGATGGCCCGCAGCGGCGAGATGGCGAGTCCCGCTTCGGTTAGTACTGATTGTAGTGCATCTTGTGGCATCTGGAATAGTTTATGGATTAATCGTTACAATCTTATCATGAAATTCATCTGTTGGACTCACCACAAATGGCGGAATGGACAAACCGGTGGCGGGCTGATGATTTTCTACCAGCCAGGGGGTTTGTCTTGAATCTTCAAAGTTGGTACCCGTACCTATACCCGCAGGAATAATGCCCCGCCACTGCGCACGTATCCAATATTTGATGGCATCATTTTGACGGAGTGATGCAGCAGCTGCAGGATCTGTATATACCACCAGTATATTATTGGTGGCATTGGCAGATGCAGGATCATACAGCAGGAAGGGCATGCCCAGGCAGAGAAAATACCTGAGTTTGGAAGGTGCATCCTGCGCTTTCACCAAGGCTGCATCTATAAACCTTTTAAAAGGCTTGAAACGCGAACTGGCATGCGTATCAATAAAATTGATTAGTTGGGTTTGTAATGTACGTGCCGCTGCAGGTGTAAACCCGGCTGGTTCTGTTGCCGGAATGATGCGCTGTGCTGCCGTGGGGGTACCTGTTGACGTAAAGCGTTTGTCCACCGCCTCATATATAGTTTTCAACTGGTTAAAAAAAGCCGTCAATTGTGTTGCGGTAGCTGCGTCCGCAATGGTGGCTGTCAGCTGCGGTGCAAGTGTACCCAGGTTGGGTAAAGCAGCTGCTATGCCTGTGAAAGCTGCGGCATTGGGTTTGTCTGCGGCGGGTATTAAAAATATAGCTACCAGTTTGTCGATCAGGTCAGAGAAATTTGCGCTGCTTAATGCCTGTAGCCGGGTAACAGGTACAATGGTAGCAGGCAAACCGGAACGCCAGCCCAAAGAACAGAAGGAAAGCACATTTAAAACGAAGCTCTGCCGCCAGAAAGTTAAATGTGCATCTGTAATGCCAAATGCATTTCCCCAATTATCTAAAAATTGAAGCACACGGGAAGCGGAATAAGGAGGAAAGCCCGAGCCGTGTAATCCCACTACCCTTGCATTGGAATTTAATCCCGTAATATTTCCAATAGTGTTGAAATGCTGAAACCACCGCGGACCGGAAACCGCAGGACGTACCGTGGCATTGGTGCCAAAAAACGATTGAATGGCCGTTAAAAAATCTGTATCCCTTCCTACCTGGCAGCCGCGGATATCTATTTTACTGATTTGATTGAAGCGCTGCCTGGCGGTGGTTAGTTTGGTGGTGAAAGTATTGCCCGCTATGGCGGCCACTGCGGCGCTGGCATTTTGTGCATATTCCGCCGGGTTAAAAGGTGTTTGGTGTGTTAATGTATGACTGTTGCCAAAACCAATAATGGCGCTGCTGAGCGTGTTCAGCTGTCCAACAGGAATGGTATTTTGAATTCTTGAAACAACATCAGCAAGCCATACATCGTATGCAGCCTGTATGGCACTGGTTTGGCCGGCATTGCTTACTATATTCCGCGAAAGTGCCCATTTGCTGGCGCAGATAAGAAAGAAGTCTTTGAAGTCCTGGCTGCTGGGTTCACCAAATGCATCTACCGGAACCTGGTTAAGAATGGTATCGTGGGTAGGCCGCAGAAAAGATATTATGGTAGATGCATCACCATCAAAAAAGAACCGGGTAGTATTGGAGAAACTGCCCACTTCAAAAGTCAGCATAGATTTCAGTCCTTCAATGCCGCTGGTAGCGAAGCCAAGAAAATGCCTTTTCAATGCGGGTCTTATTCCTGCGGTTAAAAATTTCACCATCATATTAACAGGTTGCTGCAATCCTGAAGTATCAAAAAAAACATGCGATACAATGCGCATCCTGTTAATAATGCCGGTGCCGGAGCGGGCAGGATCGCCCAGTATGTCCACTATTTCTTCAATGGAATTGATGGTGATGGGATTTAGCCCGGAATTCTGGTGAAACTGTAATGCCAGGGCAATAAAACCATTGTCGGCCGGTGAAGCCTGCACAATAAAAGTGAGCTGCGGTGCAAAATCCGGCTGGCCAAACAAAGCCGCAGGCGTTGCTGCTTCCGGATCGGGCCCTGGCAGGGTGCCGCCTCCGCCACCACCGCCACCACCACCCGTGGCAGTATTGGGCTGAATGCCCCTTACCGCGCTGCCAGCCGCAGCCTGTGCTCCCTTGGTTGTTTTACACATACGATCAACTTTTCAATGCGCCTGTTTAATGGCTTTTTCCAGTTCAAATGACAAATCCTGCAGCACAGCAGCATTGCTGTCTGTACTACCGGAAAAACATATAGAAATAATATACTTAAGCCGGCCTTTTACCGGGTCATCCTCTATCACATTAGCAGTATCTGAATAGTGAAAATCATAAAATACCTGCTGACCATTTACTTTCTTACTATTATAGAAAATACCTATTTTACTGTTCAGCTGTGTAACGGCCAGGTTTTGCTTCCTGTTTACGCCCAGTTCATCGCCCACAAAACTGCGTGCACCTGCCTGTGGCGGGTTTGGATTGGCAGTATAAATCTGCTTGTCTGTCATCAGCAGCCAGTCTTCCGATGATTCCTGGTCTATCAACTGGTTTTTAACCGCCAGCCACATGGCATTGGCGGCTACCTGTGCGGTCGTGCTCTGTGGAGATACTTCCTGGAAATCTGATCCGTCTCCGCCCTTGTCGTAATTCTTGCTCATCCAGAATCCACCGCCATTTGTCTTATCGCGGTTATACAGCCCCGCTGCTTCAAGACAACCATTGATAAACTGGTAACCCATCGCATTGATGCAGGAAAATGCCGCAATATTATCAGACCAGCTTACCATCAGTTCCAGCCTTTCCCTGAAACCCAGGGCGCCAATGGCCGCCTTTTTTTTATTTCTATCCGCTTCGGCAGATTCCGGCATTTCGTCAAACGGTACCAGGAAATCAAGCGAAGCAGACCGGCCGGCCCCCCTGAAATCGTGTGCGGAAGTAAAATCCATTTTCCACTCTCCGGCGCTGAATTGCCCGGTAAAAATATCGTCCAGGTTAGGCGGCCATGTTTTTGACGGGATCACATTTTTCTTAAAGCGATCAGGGAACGGTTTACCTGTCTGCAGCCATTTTGTTTTCAATTCATTTAACACACCGGGCAAATCTGCCGCTGCAGACTTGCGGGCATTCTCCCGAACGGTCTTTCTCAGCCAGAGCGCCGCAAACAACACTCCCAGTTTTGTCTGGCTGGCTACAAAGGTTTGCTTCTTGTCATTGTTACCCAGGTAAGCAGGTGTACCGCTGGTATAATCAATGATGGCAAATGGTAGCTTTTTATATTTGGCTTTTGCCGCTACTTTACCAAAAGCGATAAACAAAGGGTCGGCAGTAGCCACATTGTTGTCCAATAATGTAAACGCAGCAGGAAATAGTCCTGGCGGTGGTGCCGCAGCTGGCGGCGGTTTAACTATTATTCTAACTTTGTCCGCAGCGGGCGACACTACCTGCGTAGCCCTGTTGGTTGTTTTGCACATACCGGAACTAGTATATCAGGGTGATAGTTTTTTTAACGTATCTCTTATAATATCTATCTGCGCATTTGAAAAACTGGTTACCCCGCCTTCATATTTCTTTTGCATGATGGTGGCGGGTTCGCCATCCTCATCGTGCCGCACCGCAAACATGTGCCCCAGCTCATGTATTAATACCCCCCTGAACCGTGCTGCTGCCGAAGCGTTTACCGGCTTGTTTTTCTCCAGCGCATCCAGCTTAATAATGCCCAGTTTATTGCAGGTGCCCTTTGCGTAATAGTTGCCCGGAAACCCGAAACCCAGTACAAACTGATCTTCCCAGCTTTCATCTACCGACTTATTAAAATCAACCGCACCGGTTAATACCGGCAACGTATCCGGATTTTGCTGCACCATTCTCAGGTTGGAAAAAGCAGACAACCCATGCGCTTTCATAATGGCCTTTATCTCTTCCAGCGAGGTAAAACCGGACGATAGTGGCGGCGAATTAAAAATATACAGGGGGAAATCCATCCTTTCCAAACCCGCTATTTCACTGGCATCCGGAGCAGCAGCTTTATATACTGCAGTGAATGTATACAGTGAAAGGTCTGCTGCCAACGCTGCAGCAAGCCCCTGTACCTGCTTTAACCCATCGTAAAACTGTGCTACCTCTGTTAACGCAGTTTTCAAATCATTTCTGCTGCTCATCAATCCTTTTGGATCATACAACCTTATAGTTACCTGCTTACCTGTTATTGCAGCCGGGCATGGAGGCCGGATGGCGCGGATCTTCTCCGAAAAGTTTACAATAACAGGTGAAGTAGTTTTACACATATAAATGCCTGTTAGCCATTTTCTGTATAGGTTACCAAGCTTAGATTTTATTGGCGCAGTACCAACACGGGCAACCGCTGTTAAGTAGCAATAGGCCCTTCTTTGTAATGACGGCTGATCCAGTGCGCCCTTGTACCAGACATACCTGTAAGTACATCGTTAAAATTGGCGCCGGCAAAATAGCGGTTGCGTAAGGCTTCCAGCAGGCGGCCGCATTGCACAATATTGCTTTTCGGGAAACGCACCAGGTTAAACAGATCAATCTTTTTATTTTCGTCCAGCGCAGCTACTGCTTCGCGCAGCTGTTGATCAGCTGCTGCCCGCGCACTGGCAGCATCGGGCAGTTCCGTCCAGGCCAGGCCACTGGCCACCATGGCCAGCAAGGCCATCCTTATTCTGCAAACGCCCATGCCTTCAGCAGCCAGGGTTACAAAATCACCGGCACCGCCATTGAGTGCTGCCGCCATGGCATCCAGCTGCGCCTTTCTTGGTTGCGGTGGTTTTTGCAGCGCGCCTTCAGACACCATACTAAACACAAAACGCTTGAAGCCGTCGCCGGTTTCTGGTGTTTGCAACGCCACCTGCTGGTAATAGGGATTGTGGTCGTTTACCAGTTCCCTGGCCACATCAAGGTTGCCAATACCAGGACCGGGTGCATTGGCAGCAGCGGTAATCAATGTTTCCAGTTCTGTGTTGCGCTGCACAATTTCCTGGTTCATGGTAATGACAGCCTGCTCTGTATTGGCGGCATTTTTTATACTCACCCTTACAGTAAGTGAGCCCAGGGTATTGGGCGTAAAAGTTAATTCAGGCAGACTGGTAGTTTCTGTATGGGGAATATTGCCTCCCTGCGTAACCGTCCAGTCGTATGTACTGGCGGTTGCCGCAGCGGCAGGGTTGGTTACCATAACCACGTAATTATTAACCCGGTGAGCTACAATGGGAGAAACAATATAGGAAATCATTACAGCGCTGCCGTCGGCCGACTGGGCAGCCTGGCCCAGGTCATTGGCTGTATATCCGTCAGGTAAGCGGCTTTCTGTTTTTCTGGCTGGCATAATCGCTTCAACTAAAAGATAAGAAGGTTGGTTTCAGATCTTTAAGGTAGCCCTAATCCATTTGGCTGCAATACCCTGTTTGTGGTATTTATGGTGATAACCATATACAGATCAGGTAATTGGGTAGAATAAACCAGCGCAGGCAGTGAGCGCAAAAAGCTTAGCGCATTTTCTACAAAGGAGCGTAATCAATCTCCAGGAAATCCTGTACGCAGGGTAGCCAGTATTGCTCAATAAATTGTACGTGAGCCGGGTGTGCGGAATATGCATCGTACAGTTGCTGGCTGGCAAAATCCATGGAGATGCCATAATCAAAATTGTTTTTTGCGCTGGTTTGCCGCAGCACTTTAAAATTTTGGACGCCGGGGATAGCAGCCAGTTGCCAGGCAGCTGCCAGGAAAGATTTTTCTTCTGCTGAGCCCTGCGGAAATTTCAATGTAAGAATAACGGAATGATGTAACATGGAATAGCGTTTACTGCAAAGGAAGTCAAAATTAAAAATTAAAAAGTCAAAAAGGGGCACTACAACTTTGTGCGGATGAACATCCGCTGCGGGAGGACGACCATCATTTTCGGGAGTATGACGACCATTTCTGAGCGGAAATGAAAAAAAATTGGTAGAAGTCAACAAAAGAAAATACAAATGTGTAAAAACGAAGGCTTTAGTTTTTCGCCGCTTATGAGCCCGCTTTGGCTTTTACCATTTGCAGTATTTTATCTACGGCTGTTTCTTCATCGCTGTAAAACAATAATTGCTGCTTTGCAGAATAGAGAAACATGGAAGGATATTTTTTTGGCTGGAAGCGGCTGATAAACTGGAACTGCCTGTCCTGCAGTATCAGCACATTTTTTTCTTTCCTGATATTGCTGCCATACTTGTCCATGAAAGGATCTATTTTGGCCTTCACATCCAGTGTAACAAAATACACGGCCACCTTTCTTAATTCGGCCATGTGCAGGTTGTAACGGGCCACGCTGCGCTGGCAGTGCTCGCAACCGGTATCAAAAAAAACAAACAGTATTTTTTTGCCCTTGGGGAGATTACTGTGAGCAAATGCAGTATTGTCAAGCTGGTAAAAAGTAAACGGGGGTATTTTTTTGGCCGGCGTCTGCGCATGCAGCGCACCGGTGAGTAATGCAGTCAACAACAGCAGGAATATTCTCATGGGAAGCAACAATTTAAGATAGCCATTATATTTTCAGCAGCGGAAGATATGTCAAAATACGTTTTAAAAGCAATGCCGCAATGCCGCCGGGTATTGCCTCAACATGTCGCCACCCTGGCAATGCCGTATTGTAGAAAATATCGAAGTAAGTCCGGTCAGGCGATTTATCGTGCCACGATTTAAATATTGTTGGGCCAGCCCCTGTTTGGCCATGTAAGCGTCCCCAAAGTTCGGCAGTATTAAATTAGAGAAAATCTTTAATTTTAAAACTGTCATTATGCAAAAGTCAAAATTCACAGAGAGCCAGATAGTGGCTGCTATCAAGAAACAGGAAAGCGGTGTACCTGTAAAAGAAATCAGCCGGGAACTGGGTATCAACCAGGCAACTTTTTATAACTGGAAAGCCAAATATGGCGGCATGGAAGTCAGCGATGTCAAGAAAATGAAGGACATGGAAG